ATAATCTTATTAATTTGCTTTTTTAAAAAAATAAATCTGCTCCAGTGGAGCCAAACTTCATTTTCTTTGTATTTATTGTCTTTGAATGGGAAATTGTATAGGCTATAGGACTGGCAGAAATAATATAAAAAATTATAAATTCTAAAAATTTAAAACTGGTTGTATTTGGGTGGAATGTATGCCTGTAGTGACATATAAGTGAAATTAGATGAGTTTTACAGTTTAATATCTGAGGAATCTGATTTGGCACACAAGGTACCTGAGTTGCCAATTTGGGGAAGCCACCTAGACATTCCTCTCTAATTTTGTTCTGATTTACTTGATTAGAATAAACTTTGGCACAGATAATGGTGATATTCTGTGCTGTAAATTTTTAGTTTCAGACTGCAACTAATTAAGTTTACAAGCATAGAAGTAAAACTTTGTTTGGTGCAAAATGAGGTCTTTGATTTATACTGTGTTCCATCTTCATCTACTCTGACTCAGTGACATATACACTGATTTTTACACCATGGCAGAAATCCCAAATGGTTTCACCTTTATTTTGATACCAAGATCATTCAAATGGACCAAATAGTTGCAGCAATATACTCATTTCATTTTGGGCTTGCCATTTTCATGAAAGAGGCTCAGGGCTTAAGGGGTTAAATAACCAACTATCATCCTGCCAAATTTCCTGCCAAACCGTTCATAACTTTTTGAGTTATCCGGTTAGAAATATCACACAGACCCACATTAGACCGATATTTTTTAATTCTTCCGGGTCCAGAATCTAGAATACGTTCCAGACCACTTGTTAAATTAAATGAAGTCATCCCTTGACTACCACCTATCATCCTACCAAATTTCCTGCCAAACTGTTTATTTCTTTTTTAGTTATCGTGTTAACAGACAGACAGACAGACAGATGGACAGACAAACAAACACGGGTGAAAAAATAACCTCCTTGGCGGAGGTAATCAAAATGACACTGACAAAATGACAAAAGGTCACATGAGGTCAGCTGCAAGATGGAACCGAAGATCGACTTTTAGGACATACAACGTCATGGTAGGCGAAGGCATAGCAATCAACGTTTTGTGTTGACTTCTGCATTATTAATCATTCCAGTGCATCGCGCTCACACACACACTGCTATCAGTCATGGAAATGGGCTCACCAGTTTAGTGTTATCCCTGTCCCTACCTTTCACAGCTCAGTTGCACAATGTCTGGAAGGTCAGTACTCTTAAAGTTTGTCTTCATCAGAAGGAAGTTAAACAAGCCAGCTATTTTGCAGTTAGGGAAATTAGCCCGACAGTACAAATTTGCGTCTCCATTAGCCCGAAAGCCCTTCACTCGAGAAATTAGCCCGAAGTTGACGCATGCACACATTGCATCATTTCCAGATAGAGTGCGCAGTTCAATTTGGCTTTCACGGTTCAATTTCGGTCTAATGAAGAGGCAACACAAATAGCCAGCTAATTCGCGAACTAGATCAAGATTTATCGAGAAAATTTCCTGATCAAATTAGCGGGCTCAAAACCGCAAAATAGCTGGCTAATTTGAACTTTTTTCTGATGAAGACAGGCCTTTAGTTCCAGACAGACCTCCAAATGGTCTGTCAGTCATCTGCAGGATGCTGGTTGCCCATGAATGTTGAGCTGAGTGCGAGGAGTCATGCAAAAGCCACTTAGTTCAAACATTAACTTTCCTAATAACTACTCCCAGCAGGCCGCAATTACTTCTGCTGCGTTGTCTGGGTCATTATTAGCTGCAACCAGCAGCTCTGTCGGTTGCTCAGTCGGTCCACAAAATTTCCCCACCCTTTGGTGATCAGTTTTGCCCTATGATGCATAAAGGTGGCATGGAGGTCAAGAGTGCGTGTGTGAAGGTGTGTGTTTGCCAATTGGCTGAAAGAGGGCGTGGCAATGGGAATGCCCAAAACAAAAAGGCGCATAACTTCCAAATGGAGTCCACAAGATTTTTTGGAAAGGTTGTCCATGAGCCAAAAAGCAGCTGATGAACTGTTCATGCCAAGTGGCCTATGACTGAAATGGCCAAAATCTGTGTAAAGACACACAGAGAGATAGACATACATGGACACACACGAGCACACACGCATACAGACGGACCATTTTGTCAGATCCCCTCAACTCATGAATCTGTTGTTGAAAACACTTGTAGGAGGCATCATTGGACTAGACAGAGATCCTTTTCCATTCATGAACCGGTTTTTGTTCTGCCCCTTGCATTTTAGCCACACCCCCTTTCATCACCCATGAACCATTTGTTGTAAACCAGTGGTCTCCAACCCTTTTCCTGGAGGGCTACTATCCTCGATTTTTTTTCACTCCACCCAAAATGAATCACACCAAATTTTCCAGTTACAGATCTTGATAAGCTGCTAATTAGCCAAATCGAGTGTGCTGAATTTGGATTGGAGTAAAAGCCTGGATTGTAGCCCTCCGGGGACAGGGTTGGAGACTTCTGTCGAAGACTCTTGATGGAGGCTTCATTGCACTCTGCTGGGTTTCTTTTTGAACTGTGATAGTCTGCCCCGCCTCTTGCACTTTATCCACTCTCCCTTTCATTTCTCATGATCCATTTGTCACATACAACTAATGCTTTCACAAAGTAATTGTTTTCTGTAAATGTTTCTGAATGATTTGACTGGTATCAGAAGCGCAGTTTTTTTTATTTTTTTTTTATTTAACCCTTATTTAACCAGGGAAGTCCCGTTGAGATTGAAATCTCTTTTTCAAGGGAGCCCTGGGGGTTGAGGTGGGGCGGGAGAGGGCAATTTGCACAGCCAATTGGATCAGGGGATGATTAGGTGGCAGGTCGAAAGAGCCAGGTTGGGACTTTAGCCATGACACCGGGGAACCCCCTTCTCTTATCGAAGAGTGTCATGGGATCTTTAATGCAGTAATGTGATTACTTTACTCACCAGCGAGAAATCTGTGTTAAGTTTGTGATATTCGCAGAAATCCTTGCGAAATGGCAAATTGTTATTGGATGGTATCGTGGGTAATATGGGGAAGAAAATATACTCAAGTACCTGTATTCCAGCTAGATGACTGTGCTGCTTCAAAATATCTTCCAAATTGATTGAAACTTTATGATGGGCATTAATTTGTGTGATATGCATTAGGAATTACAGCAAACTGCAGCAAACCAGGAACAATGTGCAAACCATCCCCTTTCTTTGCTTCTCGTTCTTTTTTTATGGCACGTCATCATGTTTTCTCAACTTCCTCTTTCTAGGGAGATTCCTCAGGTGTAGGAGCACCACTGTGTGGATCTCAAAGACCTGCTCGACTGGCAGACTTGCTAACATTAACAATCTGTCACTGTGCAGGTGGGCGGAGAAACTTTTATACTTCTCGTTAACTACCAGTCAAATACGGTCATAAACTGTTGTGGGAGGCATCACTGCACGCAGCAGAGAGTTCCTTTTCCATTGGTGTGGGATAGCCCCGCCCCTTTACTTTGACCACGCCCTCTATCAGAATTCATGAGCCATTTCCCCCAGACACTTGTGGGAGGCACCACTGGTCTCAGTAGAGAGTTGTTGTTTTAATAGTCAGACCCCTGTTTCAATCCCCACCTGTATACTTTAGCCACACCCCCTTCCAGAGCTCATCAACTGTTTGTTTCGAAGATAATGGGTGCATCTCAAAGCATAGGCTGCAGCCTTCGAAAGCTGCATTTTTAAGGATCGTCGCTTAATTCCATCTGCCAAACTAACATCACGTCATTTAATCTCTGATAAACAGCTTTGGTTTAAGCGAGTCGTTATTGATTTCCCTAACTGAAACCTTAACTCTAACCCCTAACTATAAACCTAGCCCCAAACCTAACCCTAACACTAAATTTAACCTTATCCCTGACCCTAAATATTAGTTTGGTGGATGGAAGTAAGTAACGACCCCTAAAAATGCAGCCCTCAAAGTATGCAGCCTATGCTTTGAGATGCACCCAATGAGATTGAGGCAACTTGTGATTCATTCCACTCATCTGGAGAGTCGTGTCCTAGATCTCTTCCACACCAATCGCACACAACTTATCTCATACTGGAAAGAGAAACACTTTATTTCCCTGACCATGATGTGCTATATTTTTTTTTTTTTTGAAAAAAAAAATTATTTTTGATGCTCTTGGAAGTTTATGCATGTGATGCTGAAGAGGAGTGAAACATTTTTAGCAACAATCAGCAGCCCTGTATCTCATTTTGTTGGTCCATCAGTTCATTGGTCCACAAAAATCTATCCGTTCATTGGTCTATAAAGCTGTACTCACCCCACAGCAACTGCAACTTTCTACCCATGAGGCACGGAGGTCAAGTGTTTGTGAGGTTGCGTGTGAATACATGCACGTACGTACGTAGCCACAGCTATTGTGAATTTGCTGTTTTTCCAATAGACCTATTGTACAAACCTCTGTGAATGTCTGCTTGATGCCTTCTTAGAATAAACTCAAACACTCAAGCCAAACTAGGCCAGAATAAACGGCTCAAACTTAGCTCGGCTGCTATTGTTCACAGTATTATTCCAATTAAATGCTTGGTCAGCCTATAAGGATAGGTAACGAACTGTGAGCACTCACTAATCCATAGGATTTATTGCTACTTGCACTGTACTTGCGTAGGCCATTTCATACATTTAAACACAATTTGATGAAAAAGTGTCTAAATTCTTTTTACGCTTAATACTTTGGAATTTTGAGTATATTTAATGTTTTACTGGGAAAAATAATGCAACTTGCTGAAACATTTTGCCCCTCCACAAGCCATTTGCTCCCCTACAGCAGTTTGGTGGACAGGCTGATGGAGACTCCTTTCATCCACGATATAACTGTCACAGGGAGTGGCAGGACCCAAAAGTAACACAAATCGAGACAAGAGGAGTAATACTGGCTTTGAATGAGCTCTGGACAGGTGCAACAGAACACAAAGCAGGGTAACAAGAAGCAGGAACCTGTGGATCTTGAATGGAGCTCTTCAGAGAACTCAAGGGAGCAGGCACCAATGGTGAGTTCCGAACCCAGGTCTCTCACATTGCAGGTGGGTGCATTACCACTAAGCCACCGGGGCAGGCTGGTTTGAGGCTGGGCCAACTGGACAGTATCCACTCACACAGGCAGGGGAGCGGTGAGCCGGATGGCTTGGACAGGGGCACAGGAGACGGCAGACAGGAACCCGGAAGCACACAGGCAGAACTCAGAGTCAGAAGGCAATCAGGTTTACCGGGGCAAGAGCGAAGGGACGTCGTCAAAGGCAGGCAGAGTCGCTTTCAGGAAGTCAGACCGAAGATAAATGCTAGAGAGTAGTGCGTGCTGCAACGACAATCTGGCAAAGGGTTAGTGAAACAGAGCTGCCTATATGCTGGCTGGTAACGAGACTCAGCTGAGAACAATTGCAGTGGAAGGGGTGTGCAGGGGCGTTACCAAGGGGGGGCAGGGGGTGGGCAGTGCCCACCCCGAGAAAAGCTCTGCCCGCCCAATGAAAACTCAAGATAAAAAACTGATTTACTACTATTTGACAGCAAACACGCAATATCCCAGGTGATTCACAGCTGGAGGTAAACAGCCATTAAGAGAGAGCTTTACGTATGCTTCATCTATCTATCTATCACTATGTGTGATTGGTGGATTCCTTTGCCAGTCTATTCTGATGTGAAACTAACCAATGGGGACTCTCGAATTACTAGGGACCCTCCCATTCTCTTAGACTGCCGTCTTCACTCAGTCTGAGGTCACGTCTACAGTGCTCTTATAGGACCTGTGCTTCTCTCAGGGAATTAAAACTTCGCCCATATCTCTTTTGTTCCTGCTTCTTCCACCACTTATTTTATCAGTCTTGTTGTTTGACATTAAAGTAATTTGTGTACTAGTTTGTCATCTGTGTGTGTGTGTGTGTGTGTGTGTGTGTGTGTGTGTGTGTGTGTGTGTGTGTGTGTGGACTCGTGTGGTTATAACCTGAGTTGGCTACCGAGTGAGCCCAAGCAGCTAGCTCGCAGCTAGTCTGGAGTTGCTAGTCACTCACAGGGGTTGTTGCAACAATAATTCTGCATCATAAGCACATTTCAACAATTCGAACATCTGTATCATAAGCACTTCAAACATTTGCCAATAGAAATGCATAGGTGGCTCATTAAAAAAACAAGCAGCTCCCACTCCCGCAAGTGCTGTCTCTACCAGCAGCCCTGCAATGACCGAACAGAGCGTTGCATCCGTGCCGGGGTCCGGGACCGCCTGTGAATCACCAGCAGATGCACCATGCTCCAGCAGCTCTGCACCCATACTGGGGGCTCAAAACATCTGTACTCCCCATGTTTAGGCCCCCGGCTCTGTGTCCACTCCTCCGGACTTAAATATGGATTGCCCATCTCAGCCCATTTTAAGCAGTAATCCTAAGCGTATCAAACTCAACCATGGCATGGCTTGAATATTCAGTACTGCGCGATGCCAGCTTTTGCTTTGCTTGTCTCAAATTTAGTTCTAATTCAGATCGTGAGGACATATTTACTAAACGTGGCTACACAAATGGGGAAAAAAGCACTCGATAAAGACTGTATAAACACGCAACAAGCATCTCACACTCCAGGGCCATGGTTGCGTGGCAGGAGTACCAGCGCCGGTCAGAGACAGGTGAAAATATTGTTCATCTGCCGGGTCATACCCAAGTAGAAAAGAACAGATACCACATTAAAAGCATGGGTGAAGTCATTCAGTTTCTCACTGTTAGTGAACTTGCTCTGCGTGGGCACAATCACAGGGATATGGATGAGGAGGGACTGTTTAATCGGCTCGTTGATTACACTCTCAAAAAAGATTCCGAACTCGTAGATATCGCAAAATCCATCCCGGAAAATGCCAAATATACATCATTCTCGCACAGAATTGAAGTCCTTGTGCATGTAGGTTTATCAGTTTCACCTGCGTTATGACTCCCGACTTCTCACGCTTTTCTTTACTCAGGGGTTGGAAGCAATGCATGTGTTTCATTATCGTTTAAATAGTTTAAATGAAATAAGATCATATGAAACGTCTTTATGCAATTTCATTGCTTCCAATTATCTTATTTCATTTAAACAGTTTAAACGATCATGAAACACACGTATTTCTTCCAACCCCTGAGTACAGAAAAGCGTGAGAAGTCCGGAGTCATAACGCAGGTGAAACTGATAAACCTCCATGCACAAGCACTTCAATTCCGTGCGAGAATCTCTTACAAATGTGTTGATCGAATAATTGCTGACTACACCAGGGGAACGTAAATAGGTATACCACTAAAAGCCACGCGGAATGCATGAGAGTTGACAGGTGCGTGTTATTAATGAAAACTGACCACACCTGTTAATGGTGAGATTTTTCTGAGCTTTTGTAATGGTAATTTAAATGAATGATTGAAAACAGGTCATGACCAATCACTATTTTCAAGGGATGGGTTTGAGCCTCCCCTATCGCCAGTTTACCCGCCGCCACGGATATATATAAAGTTTCAAGATGTTGTGCATGTTGTATTTTACGCCGATTTAGAGGTTCTTTTTTTGCCCCCCAAAGAGGACAAATGCCCACCCAAGCTTGGCATCCTGGCAACGCCTCTGCCAACAAGTATCCTTTTTTCGAACGAAAAGCAGTATTATCAGCCAGTGGTCAATTTAGTTTTCCGGTTAAGTAACCAGCGTTTGCCATGTAATTAGTGGCCATCTACGGTCACACGTGGGATGCATACTGAAACCCACACATTTAGCCGTTATACAGGCTAACGTTAGCACATTTGAACAAGTTGACATTGAGTAGTGGAGGGGCTTACCAGTAGCGTTAGTGAATATTGAAAGGTGCATAATCGTAATCCTGGCTTTTGCAAAAACCTCATCTTTAGTCGACTATATTCTTTTGACAAATATTTGGCTTGTCAGCTACAGCGGTTGTGAAGGGCAGGACTGAGATCTTTATTTCGTTCCGTGCATTGGTGATTTCCAGCATGCGCAGTGAAGCTTGGGGACTGAACTTTCGGCTCTGAATAATGATTGTTGCCCACAGATAATGTGATATCATTCAGTAGTGGAGCGGGTGAGGGCTGGGTTTTTACCCTTGTGCAAAACAAAGAAACTGCTCGCAGACTATTTGCTGAATCAAAAGCATTTTGATACGCAGTTTGCTAGCCAATCGGTTCTGCATATGAATTGCAACTCGCCGTCTTGTCACGCTTTTTTTTTTTTTTTTACTTTGGCTGTAGGAACGTGTGCAGCCTCCCAAATAAATATCACGTCTTCGTCAAGCTAAAGAATGTTTTGGCCAAATAAAAAATAGGTTAGCTAGCCTCTACATTTGAATATACACTGTATGTATGTGTATGTACACGTCCCGCTGTACCACAGACGCCAGCCGCAGGCTACTACTCAGTTCGAAGAAAACGGATGTAAGCAGCAGTCCATCAAGAAGGAGACCAGCCAGTCTGCTGAACCACTATGAAGGTGAATATGAGCAACGTAATCCTGACCTCAGACTGAGTGAAGACGGCAGTCTAAGAGAATGGGAGGGTCCCTAGTAATTTGAGAGTGCCCATTGGTTAGTAACATATCAGAATAGACTGGCAAAGGAATCCACCAATCACACATAGTGATAGATAGAAGAAGCATACGTATAGCGCTCTCTTAATGGCCGTCTACCTCCGGCTGTGAATCACTTGGGATATCGCGTATTTGCTGTCAAATAGTAGTAAATCAGTTTTTTATCTAGAGATTTCATTGGGCGGGCAGAGCTTTTCTCAGGGTGGGCACGGCCCACGGCCAGATTATACGCAAAGTCAATAAAAAGACGCGAATAGACGCGAGAAGGCCCGAACTCACGTCTATTTGCGTCTTTGCATTGACTTTGAATGGCCGCGCGAATAGTTCGTTTCGCGTTTGGTGGAAACGCAGCATTGCACTTTTCCCCAGTTTTATGTTGTGAGTCCATGACATGCCTGCATTCCATCATTAACAAATGTATGTTAATTGCCAAACCTCTAGTCGAAAAATTTGACAATGTTTTCAGTACTAACCTGGTTATAATTGATTATTATGTTGACCATGAGTGGACAGTCTTCACTGACATATCCACGGGAAGATAGTTTTTCATCTTTCAACCCATTGTTTGGAGCTCTTCCAATCATAGTAATATTTCGTTGTTGACAGTAGATGTCTTCCAATGTGAACCTGTTTGTCCCGAAATGGGGTCCAGAAATGGGCAGATTATGCACATAAAGTACTGCAACCTCTCCTTTGTGTATATTAAAATGTATTTAAGATTTCCATGAATAAAAATTGAAAATTAACACTATGACCACATATTTTGATTATAAAACTGGAGTTTAGAAGAAGGCTGCCAAAACAAGAAAAATATGATTTTATTCCAGAAGTTATGGGGTTCACTTGCACATTCAAAAACACACACGCCCGCACGCGCGCGCGCACACACACACACACACACAGAAATTAAGTATTTTATTAATTGATTTAGGGACATTCCGTTGATGATTGCAATGTTCTGTTTAGTAGCACTGCAAGTCAATCAAGGTTAGGAATGATAAATCTCTCTGAAATGTAGGATGCAGTTCATTCTGGAGTGTCATTTGCTTTGATATGTACATTAGCCTGTACGACCAGGAAGTCTTTTGCTAACTTTTATATTTCAATTTTAAGCACGTAAAATATATATGCAAGGTCGGTTTTTGAATTACATGTCTTTGGTGTTTACAACTCGGAAATGCTGAACTGCACTATATTTGAACCCAATTTTCGTACAGTTTTACAGAGAGTAAAAAAAAAAAAAAATCAATTCTATTATTTAATGGTCTGTCATTATAATGATAAATTACAAATCATCTTACTGCCAAAATCTTACAGCAGTTATATTTTTGTAACGTTCTGTCGACATGATCGTCCTTAGTAAAAATTAATTTATTAATAATAATAAATAAATAAAAACAGAATGAAAAGTAAGGCAGGATCTGAAAATATGAAAGAAAATTTTCACATTTGTCTGTTATAAAACTCTAATCTCTTTGATTTGTATTTTGAAAAAAAGTGTCAGGAAAAAGGTAAT